GTGAACATATAACAGTATGTGTTATACACTGTGGTGTGCTTGTAAACATATTACAGCATATGTTATACACTGTGGTGTGCTGGTGAACATATAACTGTATATGTTATACACTGTGGTGTGCTATAAACATATAAGTGTATGTTATACACTGTGGTGTGCTGGTAAACATATAACAGTATATGCTATACATTGTTGTGTGCTTGTAAACATTACAGTATATGTTATACACTGTGGTGTGCTGGTAAACATATAACAGTATATGCTATACACTGCGATGTGCTTGTAAACATATTACAGTATATGTTATACACAGTGGTGTGCTGGTAAACATATAACAGTATATGCTATATACTGTGGTGTGCTTGTAAACATATAACAGTATTTGTTATACACTGTGATGTGCTGGTAAACATATAACAGTATATGTTATACACTGTTGTGCACTTGTAAACATATAACACTATATGTTATACAGTGTGGTGTCCTGGCAAACATATAACAGTATATGTTATACACAGTGGTGTGCAGGTAATGTTTAACAACTGGCTCTCTAGAGGTAAGAAAAGTCCTGTTTCATATGGTGCACTGAATTCTGTGTTGTAAGTCCCTCCAACGTGGCCTATTTCAAGCTACCAACGTGACATCAAGGAACATGGAGTTGAGAAGAGATGTGGACACTGGCTCTTGGCGGCTGGGTCCAACTGGCTCCAGAACTCCTATATTTGTCTTGTGAGTTAATTCTAAAAACAGTCCCACAAGATGTATAGTAGTTCCATTTCAGAAATGGTGAAACTGAGGCCTAGAGGGGTAAATATTTTACCCAAGGGTACACAACTAATTAGTGTTGAACTTTATTTTAGATCCACGTCGGCCTGTTTTCAAATCCAATGTTCTTTCAACAAGACTATGCTGCTTCTAGAAGAGTCATATGGTCAGGTCTCCATTTCAGAAACTCCTGTGGCAGTAGAGTGGAGGTTGATATTGCAGCATGAAAGAGTTCTAGACAACAGGCAAGTGAATGGATGTGTATGTGTTCCAATAAAATTTTATTCAGCAAAGTAGGTGGTAGGTCTGTATAGTACAGAGGTGGGTTGGAAGGAAGCATGTCAGAGGTAGGAGGTCACATAGAAGGTTCCTGAAGAGGCTGGGTGAGAAGTGATGAGGCTGAGCCAAGGCATGGCAGGATGCTAGGAAGTATGGACACACTGGACGGAACTGCTGGCCCTCCATCTCATCAGATGGGGATGGATGGGGTGAAGGGGCAGAGTTATATCAACGAGAGTCAAGCATAATTTCTAGGTTTCCGGTTTGTAACTGTGAACACGATGTGCCATCGGCCAGGACAGAATCACGAGGAGCAGATTTCTTTAGAGAAAGCTTATGTTTTCAGTCTGGGCATGTCGAGTTCAAAGGGCCTATGGAAGGTCCAAGTGGGGAGGTCCAGGAGGAAAGTGGACATGCACGCACTCAGGAGACAGATCTGAGCTGGAGGTTGTGAGCAAGTCAGTCTAGAGACGGCAGCTGAGACCTTGGCTGTGGATGAACTTGTAAGAGAGACTGTGGGGAGGTCTGAGAATAAGCCAATAAAGGAGCTTAGGAAACACAGGGATGGTCTCAAGGTGAACCAACTCAGAACCATGTTTCTACACACAAGGTAAGAGTGTTTCGAGCAGGAGAGAGGGGTCAACACAGTATTGGGTGCTGTCGTGGATGCTGTGATACGCAGCCTGGAATGAAGACTTCCAGAATGAAGGACCATTTTCCCAGCTGCTGTGCCTACCTCCCCAAGATGGCCCCCAGCTGTCGGCCCCCTTTAGGAACTGCCTCTCCAGAAGAACATTGCCTGCATCTCACCTCTTTCCAGGGGTAGCCCACACCCACTGACCAACACAGCAGCAAAAGCCCAGCTCCCTTGTCCCCACTGGGGACCATTCTGAAGGGCCACCATAGCTCCAGATTTCCTTGTGGAGTTGGCTGAGACCTAAGTTGGGAGCACATGGCAGCTCAGCTCCTCCCTCTGCCCGATCCGCTTCCTTCCCTGCCGTCTGCAGGTACTGGACCCGAGCGCACTCCCAAAGTGACCTCCTGCTTGCCCACCTCTGTCTCTGCGTCTACTTCTCGGGGACCCCAGGGTGTGACAGGTGCTCTCTCCTCGTGTCCTCTGTCCCTGACGTTGCTGTTGAAGGGTGAGCAGGACCAGACCAGCCTATTCATTCATCCAATCCTAAAACAAGCCAGTGGTGGGTGAAAACCAAGACTCTGACATCTAACTGACTGAATAAAGCTTTATTTTAATGCAAAATAGAACAAGAAAAATTTATATATTCATATATAACAACATCCAAAGTGTTTTCTGTGGTACAAATGGGATCATCTAAAAAGTCTGTAAAGAATCCATTCTCCACCCCCGTATGCCAAAATAGGATTTCACATAATTTATCTCCAGCACTTACAAACAGACTTGGTATCATAAAAGCATAGGAAAACACTAGAAAAAGTGACTACATAAACAGCAGGTTTTGTTTTCATGTTCCAGTAGTAAACACACTGCATTCGGCATAGAGGGAACAGAACACTCGGGAAGGGCTGAGCCAGGAGACAGTCTGTGGCGTTGCTTCACTCCACGCTCCGTGCTCCCTAGTTAAGCCCATCTTTAGAAGTCAGGCTGTGTGTGATTCTATGACTATTTAAGGACCTGAGGGAGAGAGAGTTGCACTTAGAAGTCACAGCTGCATATGCGATTCTAGGTTTATTTTAGACATCTTTTAGTCTCCTTTTTATCAGAAAGGTGACTTTGTAGGGATGTCTTATGGAGGCTCCTCTTTCTGGTCTCATCGTGGCATCGTTTCCACCCAAGTCAGCGCAAACTGGGAGTGCAGAGAAATAATACTGTGGGCTGCTCCTGAATCCAACTCCCTCCTGGCTAATCGCACTAACTCTGGACTTTCTGTTGCTCATGGACTCAGAAAGCAGTAGGGCGTCTACCCAATTTAGCACCAGTTTGAAGGCTGTTCATTGTGGATTTCAGAATTTAATGCCAATGGGAATTTTACAGACACACACTCCTATCCATACCAGACTCTCCAGATCTCTCTATCCCCCTGAAATGTGAAGATGTTCCTCCATAGAAAACGAATGCTGTGGTTACAGGTTAGGGGAATCAACTCTTTAAAGGTTTGATCTCCATGCATGACAACTCCAACAGTTGTCAGGTAGATTTCCTTCAGAAGATACGTTTAGTTCAAGAAGTTCACGAATCTTTGGAAGGAATAATGGATCATGTTTTAATTTTATTTAATTGGTGGCAAAAATAAAGCTACAATGAAGTCTCAAATCTCCTCTATCAGGCAGCGGGCACAGTTTCCCGTGGGTGACAGTGGGTCTGTGAGTCTCACCATGCTCTCAATTATACGATCTTTGTATAATTGTATAATACGGATCTTTGCTCTGTGCTGTCCTGTGGGGGTCAATGCATACAGACCTAAAGACCTAAGAAAAATGACCTTCACAGTAATGTTTTTTCCAATTTTTGTTTGTTAATCATGATTTAAGAAAACGCTGTCTTTGAGCTTGCCTTTCACCCACGGATTGGATACTGTGGGGAGGCAACGTCAAATCCAGAGTGACAGTGCTACAGCTTGATGGACCACGGGGGCGTGAGACGAGCTTCTCTCCCTGCGGAAGGCTAGGCTCCTGCATCTAAAGTTTTCGACAATCTGCGCCCCTTCGTTTCTCTACTCTTGCAGAAAGGGACGAAATCAGAGCTCCTTCAAGTGCGCAGTGACTTGAGGCCATCGTTTCGGGCCTACACGACGCAGGGGTGAGATCAGGAGCAGGTGGGTTTGCAGCTTGCTGTGCCGTGCTCTTCCTGGGGGCCGTCAGCACTCTGAGCCACGCGGAGACGCCTGATTGACTTTGTCCAAGGCTGTGAATAAAGCGGGACGGTTTCCTGCTACTGGGCACACACTGGTGACAGCTTGGTCTTCTAAACACTGGGGGAGAGCCTGTAACCTCTGGGTGGGGACGAGTGGAGGGCTGGGACACAGACGTTTATCAAGCTAGATTTGAGCTGTTCCCAACTGTTGCTTGGCTTGACGGAGCCTCTGTCGCACACCTGACGTTAGCCTCTTTCGGGCACGGTCAAGTGGGGCCTGTGTTACACTTCTAGCAAGAAAAGAAAACTGCTGTAACCTATTTCTGTCCACACTGATAGTACCTTCCCAGCCCGGGTGCCCCTCAGGACTGGTGGCTCTTTTACCAACTGTGTGTACAACACAGAACCCCGCTTCCAGCGCCCGCCCTGGGCCTGCGGCTGGGGGCACGTGCCCCCAGGGTGGCCGAGGGGTGGACACAGGCCTTCTTCCTACAGGGGCTGCTCCTCCGACACAGCAGGACACCTCCCCGTACACCTCTGCCCCGCTGCCTCTCAGAGGCCCTGGCCTTCATCCAGAAGGAGCCTCTGGCTTGGTTAAGTCCACTAGTCTAGAGAAATTTGGGTAAACCACGGAACATACTGAAGAGCTGATTTTTAATGCTTCAAACAAGTACATTTCCCTCAGCGCGTCATTTTCTCCCAGAAGGTTTATTCCGTGTGAGGGGAGGCGGCACCGAGCACGCTGGCAGGGAGACCCTGCGCCCCCCTCACGCCCCCTCCAGGTGAGCAGGCCGAGACCCTCAACCTCTTTGCACAAACTGCAAACAATTGAAAGGTCCTGGCTTAAGAGAGATGACAGAGGGCAGACAACAACCTGAGGGTCTGTTCTCAAAGGGGCCGGAAGTAACTGTAGCTCAGGAAGCTGTACCTCTCTCTCCAAGTGCCATAAGCAACACCATTGACGACTAAAACCAGCAGGTGCATCATTCCTGGGAACAGAACTCAATTTCAAGCTAAAAAAATAAGACTAGGCTGGGCTAGATGGATACTCTACATATTCAATAATACTATAATTTATTAAACCCTATCAGTCAGAGGTATCCCAATCTTGGCCAAAATATGTCTAAATTGACCTTGACGTTTTTTTTTTTTTTTTGGAGGGAATGAAGAAGGAATGTGAAAAGGCTTAAAGTATTTCAAGAACCACTCAGCAGTTCAAACTGCTGCTCCCAGGTTCTGCTCTTTCTCAGTCTTTTGTCTGCATTCTCATTTGGGTCAGGTTCTAAGTTTTAGACACGCTGTTGAAATAAGTAGAAAGTAGCTGCAAAGCTCAAAAGAAGTTGTGACGGGTTTTGGAGGGTGGGGTTTCAGCTTTTCAAAGCCCTAAGACCTTGTTTCCCCAGTTGGAGACCCGGGCCTCTGTCCTGCCTTGACTTTAGTTAATGAAATAGAGCAGACAGAGAATGATTTAGTTCTATGCCTCTCCTCCCTTCCCTTATTTCTGTTTTTTTTTTTTTTTCCTTTTTATTCCTTTCCTCATCAAACTTTCCAGCAAGCATTTTTATCTTCCACTCCCCACACTGGTAATCACACGCCTTCACACACACACATACACGCACACATGCACGCACACAGTCCCTGCCATCTACTACCCGCTGGTTGTCAATCTCCAAAGCTGCACCCAGCCCCACCCCCCGTCCCCGGTGCAGATGGCACTGTTTGGCACTGATCTGGAACGGGTACCTCCAGGACACTGCTTCCTGTGTGACCTAACCGCTGGCATCTTTCTCTCAAGCACATTTTCACTCTCAAGTGGGAACCTTAATGTAGAGGCTGCAGTCACAACCACCAGAGGCAGGAGATTCAGGCACGACTCTGAAAGCAGGTATCTCCCTGCCCTCCAGCCTGGAACGTGGGAGGAAGGAAGGTGAGGCCACGGAGTTTCAGCCTCTTCCCCCTTGGCCCTAGGAATATACTCCTTCTGGAAGCTCCAACTTGCTTTGCACATTCTCCCAGGGCACTAATACTGCATTTGCACCTTACTTTTATATAAAAAGTGAGGAAATGTGAGATGCTTATACCAAGCGAGTGGTACCGGGAACCTGAGAAATTCTTCAGATAAAGAGATGCCGTCTTCCTCCAGGTATAAAGCATTTCAAGATCACTAGTCACGTTTGTTGTGTTTGTTTGTTTTTTCAAAGAAAAACCTGCTCACTTAAAATGCCCATCGACTCAATGACTCTACTGTGGTGGCTGAAGCTCAGCCTCCGAATGGATGATGATCTGGGCAGAGACGGCCTCCGTGCTGCCAATTCTACAGGGCGCGTGTGCGCACGCAGGTTACCCAGCCAGGGAGGCACCACGTGGAATATCTCCACTGTTATTTGCCTGTGCAATGACCACTCTCACTGAACGGAACAATGCTAAAAGTATTTCAAATATCAGGCAGTATTGTTTTTATGGCCCCATCCTTCCCCTTCCTCCTGATATTCGCCCCCAAACTCCTGTCCCTTCCTTTTCCCTCCAATTAGCAGTCAAGTGTTGAAACCTCAGTGAGAAAAACCTCATCTGTACCATGGACAATTCTTAACAGGAAGAAGGCCTTGAGGTCTAGGAAGGGCAACGGTGATGGAAGCCATCTTCCTTTCTGGGCTGCGCCGAGCTCGGGGTGTTCAGCTACACGGCTGCAGTCATCGGGTCCTTCTGCCGGGGATCCTGGGTGCGGTAGGGGTACTGGTCGGGGCTGCCCCCTCGGGGCCCGGGTCTGCCCACTTCCTGGTAGGTTGGCACTCTGTGGTGCTGAGGAGGGGAAGGTGGCACATCCTGTCGGAAGGGTCCTTTGTGCTGGGGGGCTGGCGGGGGCGGGTAGTACTGAGGATACCGGAGATCTGCGACCCTCACATCCGGGGGGCGGGGATAGCTCCCTTTGGGAGGATGCACAGGGTGAGCCCCTGGGTAATACGGAAGCTCCCTTTCCTTGTAGAGCCCGAGAGGTGCTGCTGTCAGATAGTCAACAGGATCGGCTGGTCCTCCCCTGGAAAGAGAAGAGCAGACACAGATCAACAGCTACTAAGCTGGCTGTCCAGCTGGAGAACACATTCTTCAGCCTCCTGTCTAGTTTGGTGTGGCCAATGGGATGTGAGCAGAAGAGATGTGTGCCCTTAAGAAGAAGAGAGGGAACCTTCTTCTTCCCTTCTCTCCTTCCTGTTGGGCAAGAGAGTGGCTATTTTAGACCACAAGGTGAAAGCCACATTCTGAGGAGGGCAGAGCAACAAGAGGGTAAGAGCCTGGGTCCTGGACACCAGTGAGCCACTGTGTCCGCCAGGGCTGCTTACACTCAGATTGTGCTTGAGAGAGAAACAGACCTCTGTCTTGTTTGTATCCTCTTATGTTGGCCTTTAGTATAGTAACCAAAGTAGCTTCCTAAACAAGGCAGAGTTTGGCATTCTTAAGGCTGAGCTCATGAACCTCTCCCCTTCTCTGCCTACCTAACGCCTGTCCCACATATGATGGTGGAAATGCACAGGTCATTCAGAGCCATAAAGTCCCACAGAGGCCCTCCCGTCTCGCCCAGGTCTGTGGGTGCTCTTTACATGGGCCACGGTCTTGGTGTAACCCTGGTTGGCTTCTGTCACATCCCTGTGTGGATTAGTATGCCCTCCCCTCTTGACAGTTCCTAGAAAAAGTCCCAACCCAGAGCTGGGAATACTCACCTAGAACTTTGATATAAAGCAATTCTACAGCAAAGTCTAGAAGCACCACTGTGCCGGTAGCAGAGTGGGGAAAGCCAAACCAGCTGGAGGTTGCACTGTGTAAGGAGCAGGCACACAGAAAGGTCCGGGACGAGGATAAACACTAACAAAAAGGCCACCCTGCCAGGCTCTCTCCGCTAAGACAACAAGCATCTCCTGATGCCTTTGCCATAACAGAAGCACCACGTCTCTGAACAACGTGCAGATGACTGCCTCTTATCTAGCCTGGGGTTAGACACGTGGTTCTGTTTGTGGCTCTTAAAATCCCATAAACCTTCTGTGCACAGATTCACCACCGCCATCCCCAGCTCCTTCCCACTCTTTACTGTCCCCGTGGACACGTACCCTGCACTGTTGCAGCGTCTCTCAGGGAGGATCCTTCCTCCTTTTATTATTTTTTTAAAGGGAAACAGCAAAAATAACAATTAATGAGAAGCTCTCCAATGTCCGAGTACAAACTGGTAGAACACGTGAAAGAAACGGCAAGGCTGTGAGAGCACGGAGTCTGTAGTCAATCAAGCCCTGTCAATGCGGGTCCAAATCACCCGGCATCTGCAGCCTGATGTGAAAACGACTTGGAAAGTCCCCCATCAGTGAAGGCTTGATGAGCTCCAAGCTCGGGTGCATTTGAAAGCAGCACGGGAACCACTCATGAGGATGAACAGGAGTCTCTCTCTACTTTTTTATGTCTTAATTTGGCTATGGATAATAATGAAAGATAGATCCTTGAGCCTGGGGTAATGGAGTTAGTGAGGGTTTTCAGATAAAAAAATTAAATTGTTTGTGTACAAGTTATTACAGCATCAACTGCTATTACTCAGAGCAGTTAGCTTTGCTCTGTTTTAAATTGCCCATGACAAATAGCGCACAAATGCATCATCCGTCACTCGAGCCCGGGAAGTAAAGGATCACGATTCCATCTTCCCTTTCCTGCAGAATTTTATTTTTCATTTAGAAAACTTCCAGCATTCATTATATCTTTTATTGTAAAATATCTTAAGCCTCCTCCCCCCGTGCTCATTTCTGTTTCCTTTTGGTTCATGTTAGAGATTTCCGAGACACTTAAAAAAAATCCTTAACCTGTGCTTTCTCTCAAAATCGACTGAAGATATTTCTCTGCATGAAGTGAAACATGTGGTTTCTCTGCACTCATTTTAAGCCCTTGGGATAAATCACTGACATTTGCAACACACAAACATTATCTGCCTTAAAATGAACACAGAACCAACGCTCCCTCCGGACCCTCTTAGCGTGAATGTTTCCTGTTTAAAATGGAAAGAGAGAAAGGAGGAATTCCAGGCCTTGGACTTTTAGGGTCCTGTTCCCTCCCCTGAGATTTCTCCCTTTTAAAACAGAACGTTATAAAAGACAGGCATGCCTTGGTTTTTTCATTTTTGGAGAGACAACCCAGATCAAGTGGTGATGGGTCAGAAGCCACCCTGAGCGACGCCATGACAGTGAAGGGTGCATGCACAGGGGGACAGTCGCTCTCTCTCCTCCCACACCTCACCCCGTGACTCGTCCACCTGCCCCAGCCACGAGGGGCAGGGAGGATTGCCCTGGGCAGAGGGGCAGAGGGGCAGAGGGGCAGAGGGGCAGAGCTCAAGATAGCTTTGTGGTCCCACATTGTATTCTCTACAAGACTTTACGTCCGAGAGTTTGCTTACATGTGGCAGGAACCAAGTGAGGTAGCTGTTCTTTGTCAAGAAATGAAATCATGGAAATTGTCTTCTTCTGTAGAACCCATCAAAACGGTTACCGTTTTTAATTTTTCAGAAAGAAGAAAAACAATGAGCTGGCCTATAAAAACACTGTTTAAGGTTCAAAGAGCGCTAGAAGAATTTTTCTTTCTTTGATGGGGAGTGTTGCTGTTGTTTATAATAACTTTTCACTCAAAATTGAGTATTTTCTGCAGACTTTTGCCGGAACAATGTCTAAGTGCTTGTGAATATTATGAACGTGTGTGTGCTTAAAGGAACGATTTTACACAGAAAGGAAAAGCCCTCCTCATTTACTACAGAACTTGATAGGAAAAACGAAGAAGAGGGGCTGAGTTTTTAGCTTTGTTAATCTTAAGTTTCCCTTCTCACAGTTTCCTGATTTGGGTGAAATTTAGTATTTGTAGGAAAGCACAAAAACCAACGCATTCTGGGACCTAAGAAACGCTGATGACAGTGACCAGGGCTGCGTGTCTTGAGCCAACCCTGAGCCACCCAGGGGCAGCTTCCTCTGGAGATTCTGACGAAAACAAGGGTCCAAATAGTAAACGCACCAGTACTTCAAGACCCCTCATTTTTCTTGTGAACTCATGAGTTTTATTTGTGTTATTACTTTTCTTAAAACAAACAACTTTTCAATTGAAAATCTAACTCGGAAGCCATGTTTACCTAAGAAAAGAGAAACAAGCCTGTATTTGCTTTCTTCATAACTCTTTGAGGAAGCTGTCACGAAAATATCTATATTTAAAAAATTTTTCTTTCTTTATTTTTGATTAGGCTCATTTCTGGAGGCCAAAAGGATTCAGATTTTGCTTGGAAAACTCACAGGAACTACCTCAGGCACACAGTTTCTAAAAATACAAATGCGTGCAATAGTGAATGTTAACCTTCACGCCCAAACACGACAGAGCTATATGGTATTGACAAGTGAAGAAACAATAAGAATAATTTTCTCTACATGAGATTTTCCTCCTTTGCCATCTCAGTATGTCACTATTTTTCTTTAAACAAAAAAGGGAGTGAAAATTAGCAGGTGATTAGGTCAGATAGCCAGCCCCTGGGTACCACCTGCCTCCATCTGTGGAAGGATGGAAGGCATGCTCCTACATGTGCAAAGACAATCCTGTATGGGGAAAGGGCTCAATATTGGAAGGACTTTTAGCTAGGAACGAGGTGGCTATACTTACAGGAATAGATGAAGAGGCATGAGCCCCTGGAATAGACCAAGAGGCATGAGTAATTTTGAATCCTACCATGTATTTATTCAAGTATCAGTTAAGGACTGGTTTTATTATGGTCCAGCAAAGAAATTTTCTTTGTTTCTGTCATAAACACAATAATCTAGGAACATCTTAATTTATGCGTTTAAAAATACAGGACACAGGGTTCCAAATAAAGGGCCTTCAGAGACAACGTCAAAGAAAACCAGGTGTGATGGCCATGGGTTCAAGTACCTGGGTTTGAGGATTGATGAGCAGGAACCAGAGGTCCAGGTGATGTCTAGTCCCCTCTGTCACAGCACTGCCCACCTTTCCCACCAGAATGCACATGATGGATGACTCTCATACAAGCCACACGTGCCCAAGGGGGCACAAGCTAGATTATGCAAACTTCTCTACCACCTGCTGTAACTCAACACCCTTCCCCCCCACTCAAAGGAGAACAAGGGGATTCAAGTGAGTGGGGGTGACATTTTTAAGGGAGGAAACTTGAATCTGCTCTAATTTATTAAAAGACATCATATTCAACCTTCAGTTCTTCAAGTATCAGTGACAAATCCTTGTGATACAGAGCTGATGGTGATTCACCTATGGTCTCAAAACTGAGTAAGAGTCACCACTGTCTCTCACTCAATGAGCTCCTTTCAGGAGGAGGAAGGACAGGTGAAGTTGAAGAACAGCAGGGGAAAACGACTAAGATTAGCACACATCATCGACTAGGAGAGGGTTCGTGTTAGAGGGGTAAGGTTAGCAGGCATAAAAATAAGGTTTGCAGTAAAAAAGCGTGAAAGCCGTAAAGAATTTATGAGCAAAGGTGAGTATGACCAGCTTAGGCATAAGCATTGAATTTCTTATTTATGGAAAAGCTTCCAAAAGGCAGAATCTTTTTCCTCTTAATTTCTGTAAAGTACTCTGTGTGCTATTAGCAGCCCAAATAAAGACAATTTCTTAACTTCCAAGGTAGCCTGTATGGGTTTCCTTTTTTGGTAATAACTGTGACCAAATTTGGGGTTCAGATGGGGGGAAGCAACATGATGTGAAGCTGCTGGTGCATCTCAGAGGAGAGGCTGCACCCCCTGGCAGAAAGCCAGCAGCAGGCGCAGCCCCCCCACTCTCGAGCACGCTGCACACAGATCATCTAGTGGCTGTGCTGGTGCTGGTACTTTCTTCTCTGCTTCTTCTACAAATACGGTGAAGCTAAAAAAAGATCAGCACATACTGATCTCCTCGAACGCTCGAGTCGCCGCGCGACGTGGACAGAGATGCTTTCAGGCTGTGTTTGGAATTCCTCTAGGGTCAGGTTTCCACTTTCCAGGCCTTCATCCGCGTCCAGGCACGAATGTG